TGTTGTAGCTTTTCCCTGTTCAACAACCGCAAGAGAGAGGACGGACGCTGCACCAAATCCTTCCTCCTAGCCACGCCTTACAAGGGAATGGTTTGAAATTCCCATGGAACTTTGAATGGAGACCTAGGTACATCGATAGAGCCTCGAATGCTGATTACGAATATGCAGATTAAAAGTGCTACGGGGACCTCCCAGACGAGATCTGGGTGGTCAAAGTTTGAGTTCTGGCTCGTAAGCGCTGCTGATCGATGTCTCGGCAGTGCCACCGTGGCTTCGTGGTAATGGTCTCGCTTTCAAGTCAAACGCATGCAGGTTTGCATCCGGTTGGCGCGGGGATTTTTGTCCCTGTCGCTCCATAAGAGCTCTAACTCTAATTTTCGAAATTCTTCCGAGTTTACGGCCCAGCAGGGCAAGTAGATCAAGTATATGACGTACTCGATCTAGTATGGATTTGGTCATATCTGCCCTCTCTGAACATATTACCCATCCGACAATTCAAAGTTTTAGCGAGAAATTCGTTCATGGGAGATTTCGACCCCCTGAACACGAATATCACATCCTTCGACGAAAAAACGCTCGTCTGGCCAAATTGCGATTCTGGGCAAAACTTTGAATTGTCGGTAACGGATATAATACAGTCATGCCACTTGCCCGCTTCAACAACTGGTGCAGAACGACTTTGGCTAAACGCAGCCGCACTGCACGCCCCACCGGTCCGCAATGATGAGGACTGTACTTTACATATCGCAGGGTGCGGTAGTTTAGCCCGGTCAGGGGTGCATTCCCATTGGCTCACTCTTCTCTACACATTCTTCGCCTCCACTTTGAGAGATTATTCACTGTCATGTTCTGGAGATGCAGCTGCGTGGTTAGGGCTCCCGTCCTGCGTATGTTTTCTGTTTTCTAGCTGGCCACATGTCTACAAGACCTCAAGTGATTAGCTGACAGTATTAATTCATTAACCTAGACTCGTGGCTATGTCAATGACTGAAGACACAAATTAAGGATGTCTGCAGGTGATTATGGGCCTTTCTGGACTCTGTGAGACAAGAGAGATTTGCCTGCCAATTGCTACGATTCCCCGGCCTGGGGTGTCGGTCGTATGGCGTGGCTGGCAGCTGTCCTACCGTAACTGGGACGCTGCTGGACGCTAATTGACACCTCCCTGAGCCTGGGCAGCCGCTCCCTTGGACCGGAGAACTCGTCCACAGCTACGTAATTGACTCGCATCATTGATCGACCCACAATAGTAGGACGCCTCCGTAGACGCCGAATTGCGTACTGGTCGCCCAACCACCCATTCTCTTCCGTTTTTGAGCGGGTTTTCGACTTCTTTGGCCTTACCAACTATTTTGAAACCACACTACTAATATTGTATATTGACCATTGCTTATTCATTGCCTTTCTGTACAAGTGCGGAGCTACTAAACCATTGGTGAGTTTTTTTGCAGTTGCTTAAAAGTTGATTTCTATACTGTTTGCTTACTGGAAGAGCATAGTTTCATGACCATTTTGGGATCATGACACATTCTTCTTCTAAGTTCGCTCACAGTTATTTTTCCTTGTTAACGATCATCGAAGAGTTCCTAACAAGTGTTTTTTACCCCTTTGTACACATTAACAGCAGACTATTCAAAAAATTTTATTACATTTGGCTTAAATAGTTTTTCCTGACACATATCTCGACATATATCTACAATAATCTTCCAATTCGTTTCTCGTGACGCCTCGTGCTCGATATATTTCGCCAAACCTGAACAAATTTAGGATTATTAAGTGCTTCAGAGTACCCATAAATAAGCTCACCTTCTCATGCTACCCCGATGTTTTCTCTCCGTTCGCGGTCCCGCTTCCTCAGATGTTTTTCTCCATTGTGGTTCTGAATATAATGTCGTGGAATAGTGGTCTGTGAGCTTTTAAATAAAAGTTACCTCTTGTAACCACCGCAGCGTGCACTTTGCTTCGAAGTCTATGTACTTAAGCTTCTCCAGCAGCGTTCTGAAGTCGGGGTGGTCTCTTCCGAACGTCACGTTGAGCCGGCTGAAAAAGAAACAAAACTGCTTCCATTTACACAAGTTTTGCTTTGAATGCATCTCACTTGTGGTACGCTTCCGCAATATTCGTGGTTCGCAGATCCACCTTCTCCCATTTATTCCACATATCCTTAAACGGACCATCAAACCACGTCGCGTGCAAGTACTCAAGGAAGTCCTTGCACGCACCATAAGCGACTGGTCCTGTGGAACAGGTGGCGCCCACAAAGCTCGGACCTGAAGTTAAACACACTTCATTTTTGCCACATTGTAACACATTTTCGTTCCTACCTCCGGATAGAGACGTCTAGGCAAAAAATCACCCCTTTTTATCGTGTCCCACCATTCAGCTACGGCGAGAACTCTGCTGCGGCCTTGTACGAACTTCTTCAGTATGCCATCTCGCCGCCTGAATTGAAGTAGAACTGAGATCCTCTTAGACTTAAATTCGAAATGAGATGGAAGTATCACCTGTTCCAGGCTTGCGCTAGGTGAAAAGCGCACCCTTCCACACTTGATTCTGGAAACAGGCGTCGAGCGGCGGCTATGGACGCTTTCTCAAAGTCCAGTACAATCCGCAGAGGCTGCATCGGCCTCGGGCGGAATTGCTCAAAAAGATTTTTCAGGTGCCCGAAGATCCTCAAGTAGATATCCTCCGTTTCCTCGCCGTTACTGAGAAGAGTAGCGGGACCTCCACTCCTCCATCACATACTCCGTGTACGCAGTAGAGCTGCATGAGCTCCTTTGGTTGCTTCGAATGCACTCCATCAGCAACTACAGCGTATAGGCCACTTCGGCAGGCCATCTGAAACGACACTCATTGCTTTATTTGGACACAAATGTTTTTTGTAATGCGAGGATTTTATTACCTACCTCTACAGTTTCCTCAGGAGTAGTAGACGTGGAGGTCCAGGCTCACGCTCGTGAACGAACGTCCTGCCATCCCTCAGTTTGGCCAAGTCGTCCGGGATGTTACTGAGGGTGACCTCCTTGTCTTTATGTGAATTAATGGCCCTGAACAATATTATATTTGTGAGTGTGGGGTGACTTGCTGCTTCTTACCTCGAGATTGCTTGCCGCTTCATCCCGTATCCCCATCCATAAAGAGCGCTGATGACGTCATCTGGAACAATAAAGTATATGCCGTGCCTGACTTTTCTATTATGAAAGACATACACTCTACTTCGCTGCGGACGGTTGGGCGTGTCAGCCAGTATGAGTGTGTCACCCTCTTTGAGCTGTTCTCTGCCTTCTTGTTGAAACGGGCATGCGACAAAAAGCAGTAGAAAACAAGTAATACGAAAGGTATGATACAGTATTGTCATTTGCTCGCTTGAACAACTCGTGGAGAACGAGTTTGGCACCGCGCCAAACGCAGCCGCACGAACACGCCCAACCGTCCGCAATGAACTACACTATACCATCATACTCCTGACTCGCTTTAGTGAGCATTTCTTCGTATACCTGCCTCGGCACCCTTCCAGCGTACAAAGGATCGTCTTTTACGTCTCTAACTTTCTGAAAATGTAAGATGTAGAAAATATATTGCCAGGCAACAATCGGTTATTGGAGACCTCGTATCCTATCCGTTTTGCTTTGTCTTCTGCTGCTTCGTTTGGAGTGCAGACGTGGTCCATAGCGCACGGATCACTCATGAACTCGTCTCCAGCGGCCTCAAAAAAGGCCATTTATCGCTAATCACGAAAATGGTACAAGTGTAGTCTCACCTTTATCATTTTCCAAGCATTCATTTTTTACACGCCACGCACTGGTAGACATCCCAATTCTTGGCTCTTCGGGCGAGTGCGAACGAATACGATGACATGTACCTGGAATTCTGTACGTTAAAACTTCCCTCTTTTTCTGCTTACTTACCTCTCTTTGTCCCTTATAAGTGGAGGGCCCGGGTTGTGGAGCAGTCACGCTGATATGGGCATCTCCGTCTCCTTTGGGCATATCAAATGAGACAGCGACGTCGCACGCTCCCCTATGGCAGTAATTAGTGAGAAATGTTGCTCGTCAGCAGGGTCACAATGTCAGTACCAACTTAGAAATGGAGTAAGGGACTGAGTCCAGGAAAATTGTATCAGGGCGATCAGTACGCAATTCGGCGTTTACGGAGACGTCTCAACATTGTAGGCGATTACGCAATTCGGCGTTTAGGCTGCGTTTATACTTTGCGGCAGCGTAGCGTAGCGCTTCCAGCGTACGCCAGCGGCAGTGCCGAAGAGAGGATGCATATCGATCTAGCTTCACCAGCGTCACCAGCGGCACGCTGGCGTACGCTAGCGTGCCGCTAGCGCACGCTGGCGTAGCGAGGGCACGGGAAGCATAGCTATCGATCTAGCTTCACCAGCGTTTCGAGCGTTTCTCCAGGCGCACCAGCGTTTTGCTAGCGTTTGCAGCGGCAGGGGAGTAGAGACTATGGGAGAGCTGGAGGGTACAACACATCGATTGCGCGTCTCTCACTCGCCCTTAGTCTCTACAATACACATCGCTTCTGCGTCTCCGACGGCCACATAGTCTCTACTATACACATCGATTCCGCGTCTCTGAACGGCCACATAGTTCTACAATACACGTCGATTCCGCGTCTCTCACGGCCACATAGTCTCTACTCCCTGCCGCTGCAAGCGCTAGCAAAACGCTGGTGCCGCTGGAGAAACGCTCGAGAAACGCTGGTGAAGCTAGATCGATATGCATCCTCTCTTCGGCACTGCCGCTGGCGTACGCTGGAAGCGCTACGCTACGCTGCCGCAAAGTATAAACGCAGCCTTACGGAGACGTCTCACCATTGTAGGTCGATCAATTATACGAATCAGTATGGTGCGTGGCTTGTGGACGAGTTCTCCGGTCCGAGGGAGCGGCTGAACAGGCTCAGGGAGGTGTCAATTAGCGTCCAGCAGCGTCCCAGTTACGGTAGGACAGCTGCCAGCCACGCCATACGACCGACACCCCAGGCCGGGGAATCGTAGCAACCGTAACCCAAGTTGCGATTGGAGCGCAGGGTTGCATTGGAGCACGAGAGTGGAGTCTTACAAGCTGTTGTTCTTGAGGAGGAAGAATTGTTGGTGTGACTCTTAGAATGAGCAGGAACTTTGTTTCTTGAGTTGTGAATGTTTCAAACATTTCAGAACTGATATTTATCATCCAGAATGAGGTGGAACTCTTGTAACTTGTATTCTGAGCACCTTAGCTATTCTAGAACTGATTTTCATCATCTTGTATGAACGAAACCTCGTACATTGTGCAGTGATACACAGTATACTCGAACTCACAAATACTCCGGAAGATCAGCTTCTGTCCGTCTATCCACAACGAAACTAACAAACAATATGAAAGGAGAAAACGAAAACAACAAGAAACAACTAGGTAGAAGGAATGATGTGAATAGTATAACAAGCTCTATGCAACGTAACAAATATAGGAAATATTTCGAGGTTGGCGTAAGTATGTAGGTATTCGTGATTATTGATTCTGAGAGACCAGGCGAAGTGACAGTGATCGTGAAATGTTTGAAGCGTACCTTACAACACCTGTTGTCATCTGGATACTGCTGTATTAAAAGTAGCAGCTCTTAGGGTTTCGGAACTATACACCTAAGTGACTGTGTTCCCAAGCAGGATCCTTTCGCATGTTTTTCTAGTTGCAATTGTTTCGTGAAACATTTCCTTTTTTCCGGTGTATAGAACTTGTTCACTACTCTCATTCCCCTTCCCTCTTGAAGTGTGTTGATATTTCTTATTAGGTCTTTTGCATTGTTTGTTATTCCCAGTGTGACTAATACTGATTTCCGGAACAAATGATTCAGGAATATGTGTGTTCAAAAAACCAAACTAATTACAAGTAAATCCTTTGTTTTTATCGCAAATGTTATCAAGCTATATAATATTTTTGTCAAGTTAATGTTGCCATAGTTCATGTTACCGAGTTCATGTTACTGATGTAACGTTATCACTTCCAGGATAGACAAAGTTTTCACAGCACAGCATGCGAGAGTTTTCATTCATGGTGGACGATGAAAATCAGTCTAGAACACCTAAGGTGCCTAGAATACAAGCTACAAGAGTTCCACCTGGGTGATAAATATCAGTTCTGAAATGTTTGAAACATTCACAACTCAAGAAACAAAGTTCCTGCTCATTCTAAGAGTCACACCAACAATTCTTCCTCCTCAAGAACAACAGCTTGTAAGACTCCACTCTCGTGCTCCAATGCAACCCTGCGCTCCAATCGCAACTTCGGTTACGGTTGCTACGATTCCCCGGCCT